TCTCACACTTCTTCCCCACCCCACCTGAAACATCACTTTCAAATCTTTTTCCCCCACACTGGGCTAACTCTCATTCATCTTTTAAACTGAGCACAGGATCTTCTTAAATCAGACAGCCATCAATTACATCTTCCTTATCTATCCCAAGTGGTCACTTTGTACACATCAGGAAAAAGCGCCCTTTTCTCCAGACCATTGTCTGCTGGGGGAAGACTGTTGTAATAATTAGCATATGAAGATATACGGTGGCTGCAAGGTGAACGGCATCTGTTGGAATTGTGCAGTGCTAACTTTTGTACAGTTTGCTAATGATGAATGCGATTATGCATGGGGCTTGAGTTGCGAATGGACCTCTTCTGTTACAGTTCACGCTATTTTCATAAAGTTGCTGGCCAGCTTTTAACTCTTGCATATAATCTATCGAAGAGGAATCTCTTCGTAGAAATTATTGAAGATCATCTGGCAAACAGAAGTAAAGAGAACATAGACCAACTTGCAGCATAAGTGAGAGTTGGCTTTGGTATGCAATATTTTAAAGCATTGGTATTAAACTTGTGATTTTTTAAAAAAAATAATACGGAAAATAAACTGAGGGAAACTAAACCTTACTAAACCTTAAAAAAAAAAAAACCTGCCCAACCATAGCAGAGGCCATGTGTTACATCTCCATTTTCTGTGGTTTCATAATATTTCCTGCTTGTCTGTATGTGTCTCTCTCTCATACTAGATTCTAAGCTAGAACGACACTAATCCCAGTGCCTACCACAGAGGTTCTGCCAGCTCAACAAGCAATCGCTGCCCGATAACATTTTTCAAATCAAATTTTAATTGCTTATTTGTCTGTGTTCTCTACTAGTCTACAGGATCCTTAAGCTCAGAAACACTTACTTTTTTATTTCCAGCGTCTAAGATTCAGTAGGTGCTCAATAAATCTTGATTGAAGGAATGAGTGAATGAATGAATGACTAGACAAGCTCCGAAGACTCTGACTAACTCAGATCCAAGTGCGGGAAACTCATAGGAAACATCACATATTTTCAATTGCAGAATCTCAAAGCTCTTTCACCAGTTTGACTGCTATCGGGCCTTCATTCTAGATTGTCCATGTGGCAGGGGAGAATGTGGCTCAGCTGTTTCCTCCCTGAAACTTTATCGCCTCTTGTTACCACCAGGTGTCATCCCTAGTGGCATCCAAATAATAATAGTAATTATAACAATGATGGTATCTAACATACCTAGTTTAATAGATGTCAGGAACAGTTTTAAGCCCTTTACATGTATTAACTCATTTAAACAACCATATGACTCAGACACTATTGATATTCCCACCTTTCAGATGAAGAAACTGGGTATGTAGAAGCTAAGTGATTTGTCACCCAAAAACCTGAGGTTCTAACATGGGCAAGCCTGTAATTTTGGATCCTACCCCATGTTGCTATTGGGTTCCATCCTCTCTGTCTTCAGAAGCTTGCCCAGAGCTGCTGGGCTCTGTCTGTGGTCCTTGCAGATCCTACTGAATGAGAGACTATTCAGCCCCTTTTCTCTAATAATTAGCTCATGGTGATGATCACCATCTGCCAAGTGGAGAAATCTCTCCATAGAAAAGCAGAGTGTCTGGGAGTCCTTCCCAAATTATAGGTTCAGGAAATGGCAGCCACCTCACTGCCCCAAAGTCACCGAGTCTGTAGCAGAATCTTTTCTTTCCCACATGATGGATGAAAGAAAGAACACAGTGGAATGTCACATAGGTTCTGCCATCAACACAGCTCATCGGTGCCCACAATAACAATGGAAACTAATCGCCGGCCACATCTTCCTTCACTGACCCTTTGGTTTTGCTTCTCCAGCCCCCTAGTACTAATTTTTATTTCTTGGTATCTTCTACTCAGAGGAGCTTTTTCGGAAGTTTTCCTGGTGAAGCAAAGGGTAACAGGGAAGCTCTTTGCCCTGAAGTGCATCAAGAAGTCACCTGCCTTTCGGGACAGCAGCCTGGAGAATGAGATCGCTGTGTTGAAAAAGTGAGTGGGTCTCAGGATTGGTCAGGTACAACATATGTGGGATCACAACATTTCCTTCACAAATTACCTTTGAGAAGGACTGGAGCTGGATTTCCAAACCAAATGTCATTGTTTCCTTTGATTGAGCTAATGGGTCAGTCTGATCAATCAGCTAAGTTTAGCCAGACAGCTGTCTTGGCTCATTTTTTTTTTTTTTTGCTGGCAGCAAATTGAGTAGTGAACCAACTGGTAGCAGAGCTGGTTTGTGCACATAGATCAGAGGGTAATTAGCTCAATGGAACAAAAATCAATTGAGGGCCAACACCAGGAAGAATCGATAATTAAGGAGGCAGCATAAGACTTAGAAATTAACCTCAATTTGTCCCGTAGCAAATGTAGGTTCAGCACCCCAAGCATCGTGATGGAGGCTACACTAACAAATCGTCAATGTACAGCAAACCCTCGTGGGACCCCTATGGTGTGCCAAAAGTGTAACAGGCATCAGGACCAGAAGGATGAAGCCGACACAGTTCCTTACCCTCAAGAGCTCACATTTTCTGGGTAGAGACAGAGGTGCCCCTCACAAACTCTAATCCCATTGGATGTGAGTCATACTGGCAGAAGGCAGAGTTTGGAGGAGACGGAGATTCATTCTGCCTGCACGTGTGTTTTTATGAGTATGGATTATTAGGTACATTTTCAAAGAAGAGAGACCTTGATGAATGAGTAGAATTTTGTGGAGGCAGGAGAAGCAGAAAGGTAATTCAGACTAAGAATAGCATAGAATCATGGAAGTGCAAGGGATGTTAGGGATGTTAGCACTGGAAGCCCCTGAACTTAGAGCAAGTACCCAAGAGACAGGAGATGAAACTAAAATGGTCAAGTGGGACCTGATTCCAAAGGGTCTTGGATGTCATGATAAAGGCTGTTGCTTTTGTTCTGTGGGCAAAGAAAAGTCATCAAAGGATTTTAAGTAAGGAGTCATATGATCAGACTTATATTTTAGAGCCATCCCTCTTAAGCATGGTGAAGGGGGGATTGGAGGATGCCAGCCTAGAGAATGGGAGACCAATTATAAGACTTTCTCAGTAATCTAAGCAAGAGATGAGGGTACAAGCAAAGACAGTGGCAGGATCATATGGTGGCAAGACGTCTGTGTTTAGGAGACAGTATAGAGAGAGAAATAATTGGGTTTGGGGTTGGCTGGAAAACGTGTAAAAAGAAAAGCATTAAAAATGATTGAGATTGAGCAATTAAGTGGGCAATAAAATCAGTGCTTGAGATAGAGAACAAAAAAGCATGTGTAGGCTTGGAGGAAATAGAAAGGAATTGGTTGGAACAGATTGAATATAAGTATCCATCTATCTCTACATGAAGGTGTCTGGTAGGATGTTGGAGATTTGGGTCTGGGCTCCAGGGAGATTAAAGCAGAGAGATTCTAGACTCCTTGAGAGCAACGGCTGTGGTGGTCTTTCTTATCACTGTACTGTATAATTAGCCTCTAACAGCATAGATAAATAATCAGCTCAATAAATAGTTGTACAGCGTGAATCATCAATGAATTAATATTAGCATTGTCAGCTTATAAGTATAGTTGAATCCATCAGCTAACCACTGCAAGATATCTATATTTTTAGAAATATCTTAAAGATGATATATACTATTAATTATGTGTTTAGTATTCCCCAGGCACTGATACTAAGCATCGGGTTATGTGTTTAGTATTCCCCAGGCACTGGTACTAAGCATTTTACATGCATTTCTTTTTTAATACTGAGAGAGATGTACTTTAGAGACAGGGAAAGTGAGCTTAGAAGATTTGATTGAGTAAGCTAGCCAAAGTTACCTAATTCATAAATGTCTGAGCTGGATCTGAACTCAGACCCGACTGACTAAGAGTCCAAGTTCTTAACTCTTGCGCTGCACACCCACGAGTAAAACTTCCTAGAAATTTTCTTCCTGGACAGTCGTGCACAGAATTGCTGACTGGAAGGCCAAGCCCCTCGGCTAACACGATTGCTCTGCTCGCCTCAGCCTCTGAGTAACCACAGACAGAGGTCTTCTAGGGCAGGGTTTCTCAGCACTATCGACATTTTAGATCAGACAGTTCCCTGCTTTGCTGGGAACTATCCCGTGCATTGTAGGATGTTTTGCACCTGCCTCTACGCACTAAATGCCGGTGGCATCCCTCCCCTCCCTAGTCCTGATGATCAAAAATGTCTCTAGATATTGCCAAATGTCCCTATAGGGACAAAAGAGCCCCTGATTGAGAATCACTGATCTAAGGCATCCCACAGAACTGACCTCAAAAATGAGCATCTGCCTTCTCACAACATCCTGGAACAATAATTCCGCAACGCTTCCTCCATGGTTACCCACGAGGAGGCCTCGCTCACCTAAATCCCTCCTGTCGTAGTACCCTTTCTTCACGCCGTGTTTCTGAGGGAGAGCTGGATATTCATTTTGCAGAATAACCTAGTGGTAGATGCTCCCTTAGCTTTCTTCAGTTCTTTTAACTTTTTCTTTCAGTAAAGTTGAAAGAGATCCCTGGAGTAACAATGAAACGTTTGTTCCTTGAAGGCAGGATGATCAATTATTCATTCAAAAATGTGAATTGAAGGCCAACCAGGTGATCTTTTCTCTGAGATTTCTTTGTGATCCCTACTTACTAGGAAGGCTTCACAAGGAACCTATCTTCCTACACGTTGGCATCTCTAACGGGAATCAGAGTCCAGTTGGGCTGGGTCTGCATTGTTTGTCTGGATAACCTAAACCCCATACCTTTCGTGATGACCCTCACTTTCCCCAGGATCAAGCATGAAAACATCGTGACCCTGGAGGACATCTATGAGAGCACCACTCACTACTACCTGGTCATGCAGCTGTAAGTGAAAGTGACCCGCCTCCTCCACAGACATCTCGGGGGGCCTGGGAAACCTAGACGAGGCTGGACGGTGGCGAGGGAAGGATGATGATTCAAAGACAGAATCAAGCATTATTTCAAGAGGGTTTGAAATGCCAAGAGTTCTTTTAAGATCAGTATGCCTCCGGGCATGGACATGTTCTGTGTGGACCAAGGGGTAAAACTAGGATTGATTATTAAGTTGATGTGTATCAGTGCGGCCTTACCAGCCATTAAAATACCAGCCGTTACCCCAACCCGTCCATCCTCCCCTGCTGCCCCAGCCCCTCCCCTCGAACTTTCTGGACCTCCTACAACTGAAGGTGTAATGCCTGGCATAGCAGGGGGCCTCCTTCTCGGGAATCAGGGCTTAAGTCCATTTTGACCAGTCATGTCCATCAAACCGGATATTACATGTTTTAACATCACTCCAGGGTAAAATTACTATGGGAGTAGAAGCCACGGGTAGATAGATTTCAATTCAATATAAAGAAAGACTTTCTCAAAAGAGAGCCATCCAAAGTTAAAAACAGGCTGTGACTGTGTGTGACTGTCCATGAGTAGGACAGAAATGGTGTCTCATTAGAAAGGTCTCTGCATCTCTGTTATATTTAAATAAGAGTTCTGCCTGAGAATGCTGCTGTGGGGTTGGTCGGTCTTCCTGAGGGATCAACCTTGGGCTCAGAGAAAGTTCTGTCTATGAAGTACACACACACACACACACACACACACACACACACACACACACACGCACACACATCACTGCAATCTCAGCATAGCTGGACATGATGTTTTCGACCGACAGGCTGATTCCTCAGAAACTTTAATGAGTTAATTCAGGCCTTAGCGACCTATTAACTCCTGGGCTTACCTGAGGCCCAGTGATTCGCAGTAGCAAGCTGTCAGGGGAGTAAGGTTGAGGGGGCCCCAGAAGCAACAATAACAAAAGAAGGGCCATGTGGCACTTTAATGGAGCCAGTTCAACAGGATTAGCACACAGCCATTCAGAGGGTTCAGGAGAGGCAGGAAGGTGGGTAGATTCAGAAGTCACTGAAGAGCCACCAAGCCTCCCCAAGCAGGATGCTCCGACTCAGGAATTTGTACTTGTATAGAAAGAGTATCTTCCTCATGGGCCTCCAGCTCCTATAGCAGAGACCAAAGCTTCAAAACAGAAACAGAAGGAGTAGGGTGTATGCATTTTGCTTGGAGAAATCCTACTCCCTTATTACTACTACATGGTCCTGTCACATGTGTACATCCACATCCAATGTCACAGAACAGTGAGAAGGGAATTAGAAACCCTGGCTCATGGTTGAAGTAGTTTGGGATGTTTATCCCAAAGGCCTCAGGAGAGCATTTCACTGTCTGCACATACTTGAAAAGATTCATATGAAAAGATGTTATTTTTGTTCTGTGGGGCCCTAAAGGGCCCAATGGTGGAATTGGTGTCTGCTGGTAGAAACTGCAGGGAGTCAGGTTTTGTCATAATAGACAGAAATATTAAGGTGACAAAAGATAAAACAGTCTCTCTTAGGAGGCAGTGAGCTTTCTGGCACTGATATGTTCCAATACTGACTAGAAAATTCATGTTATTCAAGAGATGGGGATCAGACTTGACCTTAAACTCCTCTGATTCCTAAGATAACATAGCATGTGAGCCTCAAAATACCACTGTAACCCTCCCCCATAATTCCAGCTTTAGGTAGCCCAATTTTCCAGAACGAGGAAAGAATTCCTGACATAAGCACAGTTAGTCTCATTTGCACAGTTTCTCTTCCCTACTTTGCCTGATTTGCGTTTCACTTCTCCCTACGTGTGTCATCAGAGAAAAGAAAACGAGCTCTGTTTAAACACTCACCAGGGGAATGTTGTATTTTAAAGGAAGTTTCCAGGGAAAGGTCAATGGTTGTGGTCCAAAGAAATGACACCCTAGTGATAGGATGTCATTGCGGGCGCCCTAGGAGGTACCAAGGGACCAGAGGGACGAGTCTTCCCCACACAGTCCAGGGGTGCGGGTCTATTCCAGCACAGCTGTGTCCCCATGGCTGCAGAGAAAACACATTCACATTCTTTTGACCCGATAGAAGAGCTGAATCCCCACGCTTGCCCCTGTGCCCACAGCGTCTCCGGCGGGGAGCTCTTTGACCGGATTCTGGAGAGGGGTGTCTACACTGAGAAGGATGCCAGCCTGGTGATCCAGCAGGTCTTGTCGGCCGTGAAATACCTCCACGAGAATGGCATCGTCCACAGAGATTTAAAGGTGCCAAGGCAGGAGCCTTCAGGGGAGGCGGGAGACAGAGAAATGACCCTTGAGGAAACTGCGTGTGTCACGGGCATGCTGAGCTGTGTGAGATGAGAGGGTTGGACGAGCTCACTCCTGAGGCCCTTTCTGCCATTAGACGAACAACCTTGGAGGACCGGATAGACATTGTTAATTTGCACCTCAGCCTTTTCCTGAACTTTTTGCCAGGCCTTGCCCGATTTGGATACCAAGATAATCCACATGTGTGTTGAACCCAGCCAAAAAGAAACTCAAATTTAACAAATACTTAGTGAGGGTCAACATTGCACCAGGCATGTAGCAGACTTTAAAAAGATCAGAGACAGTTAACCAAGGGTTGCTTCCCTCAAAACACAGTTTTAGGGTAGTTGCGGATAAGGAAAGGAGAGATTAGCACATCAGAGGCTATAAAGCTAAGCAAAGTCAAGGCTATAAGAATAACACAATGCTGGGGTGCAGAGATTGAGGGTGCAGGTAGGAGGCACAAGGGAAAAATGGGGGCGCAGAAATGAGCCTGGCCTTGAAATCAGGAGCCTGGGGTGGTGTTCTAAGAAATGACATGTTAGGGGGAAGGAAAGAGATGTGTGTTTCAGATGATTGTATCCGACACTACATGATATTTCTCTTCTCCCACAGCCTGAAAACCTGCTGTACCTCACTCCTGAAGAGAATTCTAAGATCATGATCACAGACTTTGGTCTGTCCAAGATGGAACAGAGTGGTGTCATGTCTACTGCCTGTGGGACCCCAGGCTACGTAGGTGAGTGTGAGAGAAGGAAGGATGTTGACCAGTTGGCTACATTCAGCCACATGGATGATTCACATAGAGGGCTGGTTATGAAGAGACAGGGTTCAGTTTCGGAAGTGATTCAGGTAGAACATTCACTTATGAGGTTCAGGGCAGCCAATCCACTGATGTCCAGAACCACCTCTGATGCTCCCATATCCGACGTCTTAAAGACAGCCTATCCCTGAGGCCTTTCCACAGCCCCGGCCTGTACTTTGGTTCTCACTTTTGTAGACAGTCTTCCCACCTTTGTCTTTCCAGCTAGACCAGGGGGAGAGACAAGACCGCAAACCCAGGAATCCAGAGACCACTGGATTCCTGAGGAATTGACCACTAGCTCCCTTTTCCTTTCTCCCACTCTAGAGGAGATTGCAGCCCCGCAATGTTGGTATCCCGGAGGCATAGTGTTAAGTTTGAATCTGAGGAACCCAGACATGGGCTCCCAAATATACACCCAAGGAAATACCCTAGGAAACTGGCAGAGCTGGAGCCTCCTGCCTACGAAGGAGGCTTCCAAGGCCCCCAAACAAGTAAGAGCAGACCAGACGCCAGGTGAGAGCATCCCCGAGATCCATGGGGGAGAAAGCCGAACCTCGGAGCATCCACCCCCGCCACTTCCTTCTTAGCCAGTCGTCACCGGCTTGAGAGTGGGAAGTGGGAAGTAGAACCCTGACTCAGTAGAGGGAATCTGCTCTCTCCCCAAAAGAGAGGTCAGTCGCTTACCATCAAATATTGAGTCTCACTGGGAACAAAGCCCTGGTGCCTGGAATAAATGCAGAAGGCAGTTCTCTACTGCCCCAGAGCTTCCATTCAGAGGAAGACATGGCTCATCCCCCAGTCAGGCTCATGATCTGATCCTCAGACTAAGCCCCAACCTCAGAAGGTGCCAGAAACTGATGGGACAGATACCTCCTGCCCTCTGGGAGTTCCCCACTTAACATGGGAGACTCGGTCTCTACCTTCAGGGATAGCCTGGTTTAGTGGGAGAGAGACAGCCCCTAACTTGGAGATTGCCCCCAAAACACAGCCCCTGTCCTCAGGATCCCCCATCTGAGCTGGGAGATGCAGGGCCTGCCTTCGGAGAGTACTCAGCCTGATGGGGGAGATGCAGCCCTGGAGATGTCCAATCTGATAGGAGGTCATAGCCCTTTGTCGTGAGGACCTTCTAATCTAATGGAAGAAGATTTAGTCTGATGGGAGCAGCACAGTCCCTGCCCTAAGGGCATTTTCGGACTTCTAGAAACAACACCAGCCTGGGCTGCCCTAGGTCCTCTTCTCTAAGCATCTTCCTGACCTTCGGCCCACAGCCTACAGCCCTCTCCTCTTGCCCCAGCCCTGACTCTGCCTTTGGTTTGCTTCAGCTCCGGAAGTGTTAGCCCAGAAACCCTACAGCAAGGCTGTGGATTGCTGGTCCATTGGCGTCATCACTTACATACTGTGAGTAGAAGCTGGTGTTGGCTCAGTTCCTGGGAAATCTTAGAGCCTGCTCACCCCTTCTCTTCCCCTCCCGTCTCAGCTCCTCAGGCACCATCCACCTCCAAAACATGTGCATGTCCACGTGCATGCACACACACACACACACACACACACACACTTACTTGTGCACACAGCTCCAAAGCTTCCTTTCCTGATCTCTACCAGGTTATAAAAAAGGGCTCAGTGTGACCCACTGGTCAGCCGCATGGTGCTCCCTCCTCCGGCACCCACCCTCACTCACTGTATACTAATATACCGAGCCCCGCTCTGCGAAATGAGCAGCAGAAAGGGGAGAGGCCAAGCAAAGCTCAGAAGCCAAGCAGGCACCATGGTCACAGCTCAGATTCTCTCCTGGTGCCATCAGCCTAAGGCAAAGTGACGACCCAGATGAACCTGGTCATTACGCCTCTCCACACATTCCAAACTTGCCCTGCTGTCCAAACCTGCTCATCACCAACTCGCCACCATCCCTCCTCACCCAGAGTAAACTTCACTCTGAAGAAAATAACCTGCCATTAGTCACTTACCACTTAGTGTAGATTCGATTTTCTATTTCCTAAGCTTATGTTGAATAACTACTCATTCATTCATTTACTCAACGAACACTCATTGACTGTTACTAAAGAATAAAGAACAAAATAGCCTAAAAAAATCCCTCATGAAATTTACACTCAAGTGGACGTTCTACCATCCTTCTTAAACATAGTTGACACATCATCTAAGAGTCAGGAGAAGTGCAGGGGTGTGTGGTGAGGGTTTGGGGGAATTATGTACAAAGAGGCTTCCAGGGCCGTCGTTCCAAGCTTTGACCCCTGCATAAACACTTGATGAGACCTGCGTCACTTCTGAATCAGGGGCAGAGCCATGTCCTGATCACACTGCTGGCGGGGGGGACCCTTGTTGCCTGCCTGTGTATTCAGTGGGCAGCTGGGCAGAGGGGAGAGACTGGTCCAGGGAGGAAGGGGTTGTTCAGAATTATGTCCCTTCCCGTTCCACCGCAGGTTGTGTGGGTATCCGCCTTTCTACGAAGAAACTGAGTCTAAGCTTTTTGAGAAGATCAAGGATGGCTACTATGAGTTTGAGTCTCCTTTCTGGGATGACATTTCTGAGTCAGGTAAGGCCAGTGGGTGTGAAGGACAAGATAATGGGCTCAAGGCAGAGGCTGTCAAGAGAAAAGAGCTTAACAAAGGATGGCGGTCCTGGCTCTTGAAAGTCCCTGGGGACTCTTAGAGAAAACAGGCTGCCACCAAGAGTGGAGAAATCTTCATCTGGTTTAAAAGCCAAATAAATTATTTGCGTCTCAGGTTCATGTTTTTGTTTTCCTGGAGGCAGAACCATAGTCTGCCTGGTAAAAGCAGGGGAGATAGTTCAGATGAAGGGCCAGGAGGGCAGAGCCAAGCGGGGCGGGGGGATATTCAGGCAGAAGTGGTGAAACCAAGGACAAGTTTTGACTTTTATACACCGAGCCTGAGAGCATGCCATGTCTGTGTGTGTGACAGGGCACATTGTTGGGTCCGTTAAGGGGAGATCATTGCACATTGTTAGGTCCGTTAAGGGGAGATCGGGGCTGGAAAAAGCCAGCACTCACACGCGTGCCCATGTGCTGGTGCTGGCCCTGAAATGCACGTGCACACCCGTGTGGCGTGCAGACACGCTGGTGCCTCGTGAGGAGAGATGCAGCTGCCGCACTACGTGGGCGAGGCCACGGAGGGCCTCTCTTCGGTGGTTTATGGTGGGTTGTTGTTAGGCGGTTGGATTTTTTTTCTCTCTCTCTTTTTAAGACTCTTAAAATTGCCTCTTTGGAAGATTAGCTAAAAGATGCATTCACTGCCACCCACCAGCCCGGAAGTGAATTTCCATCAGTCATGAAATCTGGTCCTTAGCTGCTGTGTCTTTGATTGCTCCTCTTAGCCAAGGATTTTATTTGCCACTTGCTGGAGAAGGACCCGAATGAGCGGTACACCTGTGAGAAGGCCTTGAGGCACCCCTGGTGAGTGAGAAATGGGGCGGGTGCTAGCCCCAGCCTATGGCCCCCCAAATATGACATTGACCTGTTCACATGATGTGTTTTTCTGGAGTCGCTTGCCCTGAGCTGTTTACCGTCGGGGAATCCGAGGGGCAGAGATGTGTTCATCAGGTCTAGCTGGGGGTGCGAACGAGTTCTGACCCAGGGGTGGAAGCTGGGTCACCTAGTCCAGTGCAGGAGGCAAAAGCAGCCAGGCACAGTCATCGCACTAGAGTGCAATACTCAGTACTAGTTACTCCAGAGGCTCTGGGCGTGAGCAGCCCTGCCGGGTCCCTAACAGCATCATTTTACTCGACTCTGGGGTCAAAACCTGTTCCTAGTGAGGCAATTCGAGAACAATCACAATTTGTAAAGTAGGTAAATAACACCTTGAAACACTTTTCTCTTCCATACGACAGCCCTGCTCAAGACTTTACAGTAGCTTCCTGTTTCCTATCACGGCAAGCGCCGAATCCTATATCTTCCCAGATTTGTCCTGACCCGCCCTGACCTTTTACCTCCAACTTCATTTCAGAGAAGAACTCTCAACACACCTTCTCTGTTCCAGAAAGGCCTACGACCCCGACTTCCCTCTCGACCCTCCCCCACCCCACACGCCAACCTCTTTCCAAACTACACCTTGGGTCCCACCATTTACAACACCTCGAATGTCCTCCTCTTGCCTTGTATGCAGCATCCTGCAAGGTCCAGAGTAGTCTCTGTCTTTCCCCAGAGCCGGGCGCCTGCAGTCCACGCGGTCCCCCTACCTACTCACTCTAGGTCACAGCATGAAACAAGGCTCACACTGACCCTGCCAGCCCCCAGGGATCAAAGCCACATCTGTTACTTCTCTGGGTCCCTAAGTGCTGTGCACATGTCAGGTGTCTGAGGAACACTTAGAGACAGGTGAACAAGGGGCTGGGGGGACAGGTAAAGGGCAGCCTGTACTGGGTGGCCTTCCTGAGGAAGTAGGTTCCGAGCAGAGTACTGAGCTGAAGGATGGTGACAACTCGAGGGCCCTCTGATACAGGATTGGTAAACTTTTTCTATAAAGAGCCAGTTTGTAAATATTTTTGGCTTTCCTGGCCATATCGTCCCTGTGGCAACTAGTCAATCTGCCTTCCTAGTGCAGAAGCAGCCACAGCCCACACCTGAGCGGACGGGCATGTCTGTGTCTTAATAAGACCTATTTATAAAAACTGGAGATGGGTAGATTTGGCCCAAAGGCCATAGTTTGCTGATCTGCTCTAAAGCAAGTATTTGGTTTTGCTAAAGCATAGGTCCCCTATGACCATCCCGGGGGACAGAAGGGCCATGGCCCCAGCCTTTGCTACTGCGGGCCGCCCTTCTCCTTGGCGCTCTCTTAGCTTAACCCGGACCTGAGTACACAGTTCCCTGCCCCAGGCTGCATCCCCACAGCCTCCCACAAGCCCAGTGTCCCCTCTGCACGCACAGGATCGCTGGAAACACAGCCCTCCGCCGGGACATCTACCCGTCGGTCAGCCTCCAGATCCAGAAGAACTTTGCCAAGAGCAAGTGGAGAGTAAGTTGTCCTGGAAGGTGACAGGCTGTTCTGGACCCCTGGAGGCTGGGCTGGGGCAGGGGCTGGGGCGGGCGCTTTCCCTGGGGCTTCCCAGCGGACACTGGCCCTCTCTGGGCCCTCTCTGAAATGAGAAGGGGGCACAGCAGTGTCAGGAGGCCACAGGCAGAGGGAAAGCTTGGGCCCTGGGACCCTTCGAGAATGGAGATGGCCAGAGGCTGCTCTTGTGTCTCCTTAGCAAGCCTTCAACGCAGCAGCTGTGGTGCACCACATGAGGAAGCTGCACATGAACCTGCACAGTCCGGGTGTCCGCCCGGAGATGGAGAACAGGCCACCTGTCACGCAAGCCTCAGATGCTTCAAGACCCAGCTCCCCTGAGATCACCGTCACCGAGGTGCCCGCCCTGGACAAGAGCGTGGCGCTCCCTGCCCTGGCACGGCTGCCCTGCCCACACAGCCCCCGGCCCGCTGCCCCCAGCGGCCGGTCCCTCAACTGCCTGGTCAACGGCTCCCTCCGCATCAGCAGCAGCCTGGTGCCCATGCAGCACGGGCCCCTGGCCGTCGGGCCTTGTGGCTGCTGCTCCAGCTGCCTGAGCGTCGGGAGCAAAGGGAAGTCCTCCTACTGCTCCGAGCCCACGCTCCTCAAAAAGGCCAACAAAAAACAGTACGTATTTTCCCCCTGAGGCAGGCCTAGCCCTGCTCAGCCTGGGTCTGAAAGAACTTAGGCAACAGCTGAAAGAAATTGACCAAAGGGTCACTCCCATGTGAGGCAGCTCTGTAGACTGAGAAGGGCTCTGGTCGGGGGTCGAGAGGGATGCTTCCAGTCCCGTCCTTACCACCCACTAGCTGTGTGGCCACTGACAAATCAGTGTCTGTTTCTAGTTTGCTCACCTGTAAAATGGGTTAACTGCATTATGTTTACCTGCTCAGACTGCCTCACAGAGATACTGTAAAAAGTTTAATAAAGCATTGGGGCTCATAAATATCTGCAGAACACTGGGTATGTGGGAATGGTGAGCACTAGATCCTTTGAGTTTCTGGGGCCTCTGTGTTTTGCGGGGAGGAAGGGGGAGTTGGTTGTCTTGTTCGTCTTTTCTGCAAGCACTTGTCTGAACCTCATAAAGGGACAGCTGCGTGGATGCCACAGGCACAGAGAACTATCTCAGCTCGTCTTCCTTCCTCAAATACATCGTAGCCCTGATGCATTGTTTCCTTCCCAGGAACTTCAAATCTGAGGTCATGGTACCCGTCAGAGCCAGTGGCAGCTCCCACTGCCGGGCAGGGCAGACTGGAGTCTGTCTCATTATGTGATCTCTGGGGTCTGTGCCTGTGTCACTGACATTTTCAGGTAAGACTAGAGGCAGGAGGGCCAGGACAGAAGCTTTTGGGGGGAGGGGAGGAGTGGGAAGGGGCTTCTGTCCCAGTAGGAAAGCCCCATCCCACAGTCTGAATGATGGGGCCTCTGGGTGCCAAAGGAGGCAGCCCCACCCCCACACTGAACCCCTTTCCTCTGCAGAAGAGATGGTCAACTCTCCTCTGCCCTTCCAAACCCAGGTCCACCCTGCTGCAGGAGGAAGGAGAGCAAGTGGGGCAGGGCCTGGCAGGAGCTGTTTCTGGCCAGAAGCAGCCGACTGCTACCGCCTGGGCAGACCGCCACCAAAGGCCCAGGCGTGACCCTCCAGGCATGGAGGCTTCACTGCAGCTGTGGGCAGGAGGAGCGACATCTGCTGGCTTCCAGGTCTCCCTGACCTGCCTGCTCTGTGCCCCACGCCCTGTGTGCTGTGGCTCTGTGCCGTGTGCATAGGTAGCTCTTGCCTGGGTCTGTGTCATCTGTCGTGAAAAGCTTAACAGGCTGGCCAGGCTGTGTCACCTTCAAAGCAAAGCCATAAGGAGCCTCTACCCAGACTCTCCAATCGACACACACGTGCTCCTGCCCCTCAGGCCTCCAGTGGGCTCATTAACGCAGTCCCCTGCCCATCTGCATGAATGACAGGCAGCTCTGTGGTCTGCCTACGAGCTCTCAGAATTTGAATCCTTAACTCCAGGATCAGCTCCCAGCTGGGCCGAGGCCACACCAGCCCACCCTAGCCAACTTCTCAGCCGCCTCCCTCCCTGCCCCAGTCCAAGAGCAGTGCCACGCCCTCTGAGACGAAAAAGGAAGAAATCCATGACTGGGTACTATAAGGAGTTAGTGTCCTGGCCAGATGCCCTCCCCACACACACCCAAATAAGTAAAAATGAGAAGCTGGCGCTTTTAATTTCAGCCAGTAATTCTAACCCAGACTCTGCTCCCTTTTCTCTCCCTGAGAGTCAGGCACATCGTCCTTGTCCCTCCCCAGTTTTCTTGCCGCCCAGCCCCCCTCCAGCTTCATGCTCAGTGTTGTGCTCAATAAAATGGACATATTTTTCTGTATGAGGCTTCGTGTGGTTCTTCTCAAAGTCAGAAGCAGCTAGGGGACTTGTGAGCCTGTGTGGAGTCGAACGTGCATGGGGAGCTTGAGGCCAGGGAGCACCTAGCAATGGTGGTGGCCTGTGTGCACCGGGAGCACTCAGTGCGCCAGGCACCTGGCGACATTAGTTACATGCGCTGACCCATTTATTCCTCGCACAACCCCTTGGGGTAGGCGCTGTTGGAGCCCAGGAGGCCTGACACCAGTGTCTATTCTCCTAATGACTGCATCAGGAAAGCATAAAGTTGAGGCCCGGCCCTGTCCTGCCACATCTGTGACCTTGGGGGAGTTATGCAGCCCTTTGTGCCTCAGTTTCCTCACTTGTCAGATGAGAACAGCATCACCCACTGTGAGATAGTACAGACGATGTGTCCAGCACAGCGCCCAACAGATAACTGAGATGATTAATAACAATCAAGATGTTCACGTAGATAAGTGCCTAGCACAATGCCTGGGCTGCAACAGTGCACAAATGCTCATGCCATTTCCATACACACAGATGCAAATACACATCCATTACAACTTCTCTGAGATTCCAAGACACACAGATTGGGGTCTCAGTTGTATTATCTCCAGGAACTGTGCGAATGTGGACACCTTCCTTCCCTTCTCTGCATTTCTATTTCCTGATCTGTAAATGTTCAACTAGATCATTGTTCAAAGGCGAAAAGGGCTCCTCTGCTCTCTCATCAGGTCCCAAGGCAAAGTGGCCCAGTCTCCCTACGTCTGCGTGATGAGCAAGCTGGACTGAGCAGCGGGAGCAGCCTATGCCTCAAACACCGTCGGGCCTTGGGTTTGAGCACAGGAGCACCCAGAGCCCAAATGGGAGACAGCAACAAGTGATAAAGGTTTACTTAACGGAAGACAAACAATTTTCCCTCTTTGAAATCCCAGGCTCCTTTCCAAAGATTTTTATTGAGCTTTTCAGTCATATATCATTGTGGGGTAAATTTTTGTGTTGGTCCAGGAATCAGCCTCAATGGAGAACGAAGGGCGAGGACACCGCCCAGCCAAGCTCCCTCCACTTGAAAGCTCCTGGGCACAGTGACGCGGCCCACCTCCACCATCTCTGTCTCATCAGCTCAGGCTCAGCTGCAGCCCAGAGTAATCTTAACAGCTGCATACCAGGGGTGGTCCAGGTGGTGCTTCTGGCTACGTGAAAGGAGCTGGGAAGCATTCCGGCCCAGTCTGCCCCCCAGAGAAGGCAGACGCACAGACCCGGAGGCTGGCGGCTGGAGCATCACTTGCAGGTGGCATAGTAGAGCACACGCTCGTTGATGTGGTTGCGGATCTGCTCCACGCGCTTCTCCAGCCCCGTCAGGTCTGCTGAGCGAAGCACGATGGCCTGGCTTCCCTGAATCAGCTCTGACTCCATGTCTGAGGGCGGAGGGAACAGCAGGGGTTAGAGGAGGTGGGGCTGGTGAGACCCCCCCCCAAAGACTCCTAACCCCTCCTCCTCCTCCCACCCACCTGGCGGCAGCGCCTGCAGGAAGAATCATCTTTAGGGTAGCCTTCTCAAGGGCAGCCCTCCCCAGCTTCAAGCCCCGCCAGCCCCATCCCACTACTAAAGAAACAAATATGGCAAGGGCTCTCACCCCAATTTTCCCGTGGTCTCTACCCTTCTCCTCTGCTCTAGGATCCCTCAGTTGTCCCACACTGAGGAGGGAGGCCACTGGCACCAAGACGAGCAACACGCCACCATCGGACCCAGACAGCTGCCATGCTAGCAACCCTCAAGTGGGCCCCACGACGAAGAGCCGGCTAGGTGACCAGTGTTCCTTCCCACTCTGCCTCCCCAAAAGGCCGCTTCAAATAAATCTAGCCCTCCCGCTCCAGTCCAGTCTGCATACCCTCCCGGACTGTGCATGGAGGACTCAAAGGACTCCAGAGTGGTCCAGTCCAGCCTGTCCCTCCTGTCGGTCTAGGCAGGAGACCCATCTACCATGTTCGTGAGAGCAGGGCCCCAGCCTCGGCCTGGAGTTTTCCAGGATTAGGGAGGCAGCGCATTGCCTCACGCGCGCCAACTTTAGGCGGCTCTAGTTATTTAAAAAGTCTTCTCATTAAGCCAGAATCTGACCACTTCTTGCTTCCATTCAATTGTCTCCTGGGCATATGGGAATATATCTGCTCTGTCTCCCACCCCACAGTCCCTCATATGTCTAAGGCCTCATTTTCTCCAGATTTAACCTCCCTAATTCCTTCATCCATTCCTTAGCCAAAGTCATCATAGAGCCCTTCCCGACCTCCCAACCCTGGCCACTCTCCCCACCGATGCTGAGTTTGTCGGTATCCTCTGCAAAGATGTAGCAGCCACCACTGACTGAGCACCACCCCCCGGATGAGATCCTACCCACAGTGCGATGGGGTCGCTACTGGCCTGACATTTAGCCAGGCACCCATACAGACCTACGGGTTGATAAAATATTGTAATTTTAACAGCTGCTATTCTGTCCCCTATGCATGATTGTCCCCATGATCCCATAGTTAAAGCTGAAGTCCTGGAAGCAGGTAAGTAGCTGTTCCAATGTTACAATCTGAGTTTTTTCAGGTTGGTGGGTGCACAACACACCAGTTACTAAATATTTTTAATATCGTCCCTGAGCCATTACTCTCTTTGTTTTGGCTGCTTTGTATTTATTCGCTTCTTTGGCAGTAACAAGACACTGCTGACTTATATCAAGCTTACAGTTACTTCAAACTTCTGAGTCTTTTTTAGGGCAATAACAACTCATATTTGCTTTTCGCTTACCAGTTACACAGTGTTTTCAGCTACGTTAGCCACTGAGAAGCCAGGCCTCACATGAGCTGCACTTCTGGTTTAGGCCCAAATGAGGCCAGAGCGGAAGATAATTTCTCTCCTTATTTAATTTCATCTCATTAGGTTCAGCCTGGCCTTTTAGACTTCTGAGGTTTCCTTAGAATGCTGGTTCTGTTGTCTACGGTTTTAAACTACCTGTCATCCACATATCTGATAAGCAAAGTCTTATCTTCACAGAAAACATCAATGGAGTCGAGCAGGGTGCTGACCAGCCCCCAGCCTCCTGCATCTAGCTCAGCGTCTCTCACCTCGCCCTTCAGGGCCGGTGGCCACAGCCTCTATCTACCCACCATCAACTTGTCAACTGCCAGCTCAACATGCTCTATGGTGTCCACCTGGCTAGCCAAACAGATTTTGTCTGTTTTCTCTGAAATTCAGAGAAAGTCCATTACTGGCACATCAGTGCTGGGTGCCATCATCACAGCTCAGGGATTGAGTCTGGTTCCCGGAAGTCCCTGTTCCCCTTGCTGAGGAACCTCGGAACCCTTTTGAAAGAGCTCCTTCCATTATGTCCCTGCCATATTCGAAGCCCTTGGATGGTCCCCTCGTGCCTCCAGGGCTGAGCCTCGCCTCCCATCCCGGCGTGGAGGCCAGGAGCGTGGACCCGGACACACCGAGCCCTGCTTCTTCCCTCCCTCCCGCTCTGGTCCTCATCGGACCTCCTCTCCTGCTCGGTGCTCCTGCTCCTCCCTCAAAACATGCCCCGTCCTTCCCACCCACCCTGTCCTGGGCCCCTCCCCACCTCGCAGCCTCTCCCAGGCTCACATGTCCTTCCAGGCCCTCGTCTAATCTTATCTTTTCTGACCGTCCCCTTCGCTGAAGCTTCTCCCTGAAATTATTTGTCCTTGGAATCCCCGGTCTCTTGTCACCTGGACACCCGGCACAGACCTCCTTGCGCTGTTAAATAGTTTTGTGCATTTTGTAGGCAATAGGAAAAATGGCACCATCCGGACGGCAAGTTTCCTGAAAACGGGCCAAGTCCCGGGGACATCTGCACATCCCCACAGCCCCATCACTGTGCCTCATACTTGCTAGATGCTCAGGAACTCCCAAATGACCTCACTCCCTTAACGCTGCTAGCTCCAAAAAGACGGGGCCTCAGAAGCCGTGGGGTGGGGCCAGGCTTCAGGGATGCCTCCCAGTCAGGCTCCCGGACCATCCCCTCACCCTTCATCCTGTCCATCATCTCCATGGTCTCCCCAAACAGTTCCTCTGCCTCTGTCTTGACACTCAGGATGCGGGTGCCCTGCTCCCCCAGCATGGGGCTCTGACCCAACCGGTCCTTCAGCTCAGCATATTTTTGCTTTATTCTCTCAAAACCCTAAAAAAAAAGGTAGAACAGTCTCAGTCATCATCATTATCATCATCATCATCATCCAAAGCCCTAAAGAGCACTCGATATCACCCAAGTCGATGCCGAGGGATAAGATGCCTCCTAATATCCCCAAATGGGTTGGTTTTGCCTATAAAAGCCGCTAGGCCACGAATTAGAGCTTAAACTTCCTCTGCGTTTCCCTCACTCTATCTGTAGCCCTGTTATTTCTCACTCACCTCCGGCACGGTGCCAGGCACATAGCTGTCACTTAATAGTGTACTCGGCAGCTTGGCCATCGTACCAGGACTGCAAGTGCTAACATTCCCAGTACACTGGAGGCCTGGAGAATGGCTCTGTGGTCTTCTCTCTGATCTAATTCTGACAGCGATGGGGCTCTCGGATTAGGCTGAGTCGAGAGTGTCTGCCTGGGCTGGGCAGCCATGACGGGGCACAAGCTCCAGGTCAGGTGTTAAGAGACCTGCTCTGTAGATGAGCTTTGGGCCTGGAAAAAGTGACGTAAACGGAGAGGGCCTGGACTGGATCGCTTCTAACATCCCTGAACCAGCGACACCTGCAGCAGCCAGAGGTAGAACTCAGACGTCCGGCCAGGTTTTGGTTCATCCCGAAGACCCGTCTGGTTGTTCTAGAATAATTATTATTCTAAGTGCTTTTGAGCCCACGGTCCGACAAAGTGTACAAGTGCACGCTTACAAAGTGCCCCCTCCTGCTCAGGACCCCCGCCCCCCCTCTGCGTCCTCAGGCTGACGCTGCCTGCTCTGCACCTCCTGGGCGCTGAGCGCCCGCCCGCTGGCGTCCTCCGCGAGCTGCTGGGCCAGGGCCGCCTGTGCCCGCTGCTGCTTGGCCTGGCGGCGCAGCTCGTCCATCCGTGCTCGGAAGCCGCCCAGCTGCTCCGTCATGCCCGTCACCAGTGT